ATGTATGTTGTTATGCGGTTTGACCAATAAAGATCTTCGTAGAATATGTAGGAACGAATATGAGAATCCAGGTTCCGCTATTGGTTATTGATACGTCTCCAACGTATCTATAATTTTTGATTGCTCCATGCTATTATATTATCTATTTTGGATGTTAATAGGCTTTATTTTACACTTTTATATCACTTTTGGGACTAACTTACTAACCGGAGGCCCAGCCCAAATTGCTGTTTTTTGCCTATTTTAGGGTTTCGAAGAAAAGGAATATCAAACGGAGTCCAAACGGAATGAAACCTTCGGGAACGTGATTTTCTCAACAAATGTGATCTAGGAGACTTGGAGTGGGCATCAAGAAACAACCGAGGAAGCCACGAGGCAGGTGGCGCTCCTACCCCCCTGGGCGCGCCCTCCACCCTCGTGGGCCCCTCGTTGCTCCACCGATGTACTTCTTCCTCCTATATAAGTCCACGTACCCCCCAAACATCCAGGAGCACCACGAAAACCTAATTCCACTGCCGCAACCTTCTGTACTTGAGAGATCCCATCTTGGGGCCTTTTCCGGAGCTCCGCCGGAGGGGGCATTGATCACGGAGGGCCTCTACATCAACTCCATGGCCTCTCCAGTGATGTGTGAGTAGTTTATTTCAGACCTACGGGTCCATAGTTATTAGCTAGATGGCTTCTTTTCTCTCTTTGGATCTCAATACAAAGTTCTCCTCGATCTTCTTGGAGATCTATTCGATGTAATCTTATTTTGCGGTGTGTTTGTCTAGATCCGATGAATTGAGGGTTTATGATCCAGTTTATCTATGAACAATATTTGATTCTCCTCTGAATTCTTTTATGTATGATTGGTTTATCTTTGCAAGTCTCTTCCAATTATCAGTTTGGTTTGGCTTACTAGATTGATCTTTCTTGCAATGGGACAAGTGCTTAGCTTTGGGTTCAATCTTGCGGTGTCCTTTCCCATTGACAGCAGGGGCAGCAAGGCACATATTGTATTGTTTCCATCGAGGATAAAAAGATGGGGTTTATATCATATTGCATGAGTTTATCCTTCTACATCATGTCATCATACTTAAAGTATTACTCTGTTCTTATGAACTTAATACTCTAGATGCATGCTGGATATCGGTCGATGTGTGAAGTAATAATAGTAGATGCAGAATCGTTTTGGTCTACTTGTCGCGGACGTGATGCCTATATACATGATCATACCTAGATATTCTCATAACTATGCTCAATTCTATCAATTGCTCGACAGTAATTCGTTTACCCACTGTAATACTTATGCTCTTGAGAGAAGCCACTAGTGAAACCTATGGCCACCGGGTCTATCTTCCATCATATTAGTCTTCCAACACTTAGTTATTTCTTTTGTCGTTTATTTTACTTTGCATCTTTGTGATGCCCCCGATTTGATCGTACACTAATCACACACGCAAATGTGTACGATCAAGATCAAGGACTCACGGGAAGATATCACAACACAACTATAGACACAAATTAAAATAATACAAGCTTTATATTACAAGTCAGGGGCCTCGAGGGCTCGAAACCACAAGAGTCAGCGGAAGCAACAATATCTGAGTATAGACATAAGTTAGACAAGTTTTCCTTAAGAAGGCTAGCACAAAAGCAACAACGATTGAAAAGGCAAGGCCTCCTGCCTGAGAGCCTCCTAACTACTCCAAGTCGTCAGCGGCTGTCACGTAGTAGTAGGCACCCTCGGGGTAGCAGTAGTCATCAGTGGTGTCATCTGGCTCCTGGGATCCGTCATCTGGTCGCAACAATCGGGTATGGGGGAAAAAGAAGTAGCAAAGCAACCGTGAGTACTCATCCAAAGTACTCGCAAGACTTACATCAGATCTAAACTAAGTATGCATCTGTATCAAAGGAATATGGGATGTATCTGTGGACTAAACTGTAGAATGCCAGAAGGGAAGGGGAAAGCCTAGCCTATCGAAGACTAGCATCTTCTGGAAACCACCATCTTGCAGCAACAGGAGGGAGTAGAGTAGCATAAAGTAAAGTAGTAGAAGTGTTATCAACCTCGGCCAGAGATCCTTTCTCGACTCCCTGCGAGAAAGCAATCCCAGAGCCATACTATCCAAGTGTCAACACATTCCAATTCTCATCACAAGTATCCAGTTCTAGTTGTATCGATCGGGATACAACTCCAAGTGTCCGTTACCATAGGACAGACTATCGATAGATGTTTTCTTCCCTGCAGGGGTGCACCAACTTACCCACCACGCTCGATTAACTTCGGTCGGACACACTTTCCTGGGTCATGCCCGGCCTCGGCCAAACAATACGCCGCAACCCGACCTAGGCTTAATAGAGAGGCCAGCACGCTGGACTAAACCTATGCCCCCAGGGGTCATGGGCCATCTCCCCGGGAACTCCTGCACATTGCGTGGGCGGCCGGTGAGCCGACCTAGCTACCTCCTTCAACAAGGTAGGTGCTTACCAGTCCAACCCGGCGCGCGCCGCTCAGTCGCTGATGTATATTAAGCTTCGGCTGATGTATACGATGCAGAACGCCCATACTATGCCCACGTGCTGGTTAGTGCTATCAGGCCAGAGGCCCCTCGGATCAAGTATCCAAATCGTAGTGGATTAGGAACACGCGGTAACAAGAAGAGACTCACGAAAGATGTGACCCTGTTGCCCCGTCTCGAGGACTTGCGGCAAGGGCTAGGAATGCCCGGCCATGCCTCGTAATTATCTTGCGGGCACCCTCCAGGTCAACCCGTCTCCACATCACTCGCAATTAAGCTCGCGCGGGTACCCCTTAGGGCCGACCCGTCTTTAGTAACATGGTTCAGTGTAAAGTCATAGTAACCATAGTAACTGTGTGTCCAAACATCAAGGGGAAAACCCGAGGAATCACCCCCGGTGAATTCCACTCAATGTAATCATCAAGGTGAACGTAAGAGGAACCACCCTCGAGGTTCACACTTGAGGGGTTGCACGACAGAGTCGTATCGGAAGTGGTTAAGGCGGAATCACCCTCGATGACCACGACCGAATAGCTACGCTACAGGGTTAACTTCAGAAGTGCTGCAGAGGTCTCACCCTCGGCACTCGATAGTAACCCAGTAGTGTCGATCAACTAAGAGGAAAGTGATGTGCGGTACCTGGTCTTCAATCCCGTTGATCGGGTCTTCGATGATGAAGCAGGGGCAACAAGGACAAGATGGGGGTCACTGATGGGTCACTATCCAACCTATACTAAGCAGTTTAGGATAAGCAGGTAGGTAACAATAAGCAGGATACAAAAGCAGGCTATGCATCAAAATAGGAGCAAACAATAACAGTAGCAAAAACTAATGCAAGCATGAGAGAATGGAATGGGCGATATCGGGATGATCAAAAAGGGGGGGCTTGCCTGGTTGCTCTGGCAAGGAAGGGTCGTCGTCGACGTAGTCGATCACAGGGGCGGCATCGGTCTCGGGGTCTATCGGAGGGAAGAGGGGGAAGAAACAGTAAATATAATGCAAACATAGCATCACAAAGCATAACATGGCAATATGCTGTGCCGGGTGTGATCTAACGTATGGCTACACGATATAGGTGAAGGAGGAAATTCAACCGGGAATGTATTCCCAGTTCCGGACCTGTGTCAGACAAATGACTGGAAGGGAAAAGTTCCATGTTCAGATAGTTAGAGGCATCTCACAGGTAAACTGACCACGTATTCGGATTCGCCTCGCTTTTCTGAGCAACTTTCATGTAGAAAACTTTTTCATCTGACTTACGGTTAATTTTCTATGATTTTTCAAAGATTTAGACATTTCCTATAATTCCTGAAATATTTTTAAATTCGGAAATAAAGACAGAATGAACCTTTTATACCCACTGTGAGCTAGCCACAGTGGATGACATGTGGGTCCAGGGGCGTTTAGTCAGCAGCCCAGTCACAGTCAACGGTTGACTGTTGGCTGGTCAAACTTACACGCGGGCCCTAGGTGTCATGCACTTGGAGTATTTAACAATATTTTCAGACGTTTTTATTTAACCTAAATCAGTAGTGGGGCCATGCTGTCAGTGTCACAGGGAGGGTTTTAATTAACTTAACCAAATTTTAGATAAACCTAAATAAGCTAATTAGTGGGAGGGGGTCAACTTTAAAAAGATAAGGGGTTATCCCCCTAATCAAAACAGGGGGCCGGCCGACACGCAGCAGGAGCCCTGGCCGGGGCGGCGGTGTGTGCAGGGCGGCTCGGTCGGGCAGTGGCGGACCCGGCTGGCACAGTGGGGCGCCGACGGCCAGGGGAGGTGCGCGCGGCGAGCAACGGCGAACGCTCGCGGGGCTGTAGCAACGAAGCAGCAAGGCGCGCGGCAACGGGCACGAGGCGTAGGTGCAACGGCGGAAGCGCGGTCGCGGTGGGCAAGCGTCGGATGCGGCACTGGCGGGGGCGCGGCGGGCGCAGGCAGTGGGCGGCGTTAGCGAAGCCGCGAGACAGGGGCGGCCAGGACGGGCACGGGGGTCGCGGCGCGGGGCAGCGGAGCGGAGCAGAAGCAGCAGGCTGCAGTCGGGGCAGTGGTGAGCGTAGGCGGGCGCGAGCGGCTACGGCTACGGTGAGGCTCGGCAGGGACTGCGGCTAGGCGGTCGATGCACTAGCAGGCAACAGCACGGGGCATGGCCACGCGCGCATGGGGCCTCGTCCAGGGGACGGGCGCGAGTGCGACAGCAGGCGTCGTGGGAGAGCACTGCAACAGAGGAAGGAAGAAGGGGAGGGCGTGGCTCACCGAGAGCCGTAGGGGGTTGGCACTGGGATCGAGGGGGGTCGGGGTGGCCGGAGTCGACGACGAGGGCGGCGGCGTCCGGGGACGGAGGAGATGACGTAGGCGTTGCGGTGGCGCTTTCTGTCTCGCGTTTGTCGGCGCGGATGAAGTAGCGGACGGGGGCGGATCGCTCCAGCACGGGGACGAGGCGAGGCAGCAACAGCCCCTACGTGGGCGAGCTCGCGACGGCGTCGGTCGAGGCGGCCATGGCGGGAGAGGAAGCAAGTGAGCGTGGGGAGGAGGGGATCTGGGGTGAGCCCAGAGGGGAGCGGAGCGACAGAGGAGAGAGTGAGGCGTGGGGGAGAGGACCGAGGCGTCCCGGGCCTTATCCTCTCACGGTGACGGTGTCGAGGTGGTGCAATGGGAGCACGCCCGACGCGGCTCGGGTCGGGGCTACAGGGGAAGAAGGCGACCTGTGGGGGAAAAGGTCGGGCCGACTTGGATGGGCCAAGGACCAGGGAAGGCAAGGGGAGGCTCTCTCTCTCACCAATTCTTTTACATGTTTTTTAACTTTTATGTTTTCTTTTATTTTCAGAAAGCAAAATAGTTTTATAAAAACTAATCTTGCATCTAAAATACCATTTTAACTTAGGCCGCTGCTATAATTAACTTGGCACCAAAATAAAGTAGTTTAGTATTTTTACCAATTAGAAAGTTAATTAAACTAACGACTAGGACACTGTTTTATTTAGTTTAGGGCAGTGAAACACCTTATAAAAATGTTGGTCCACCACCAATCGTAACAAATGATTATCTGCCACATGATGAACATTTTAGATCTCATGTTTGTGAAATTTTGAATTTCACTTAGTAATTGATTTTGAATTCAAGGGGAAATTGAGAAGAGATAGGATCAAGGATGATCATGCATTGTTTAGCAAAAAGATTAGATTGAACCCAGGGGGTTACCGTAGCATGATACTCGGGGTGTTACAATCTTTATCATAAAAATACCAAAAATATTATCTTATCATATATATCAGATCTCACTCTTGTAAGTGACCGTGAAGGGATTGACAACCCCTTTATCGCGTTGGTTGTGAGGTTTTTATTTGTTTGTGTAGGTGCATTGGACTTGAGCATGATCTCCTACTGGATTGATACCTTGGTTCTCAAAAACTGAGGGAAATACTTATGCTACTTTGCTGCATCACCCTTTCCTCTTTGTCGTGGTTTTGTCACGGCAGATGTCCTAGAGAAAGGACTTAGTCGTGGAGCCATGGCGACGGGTTAGCTTGAAGGGGTTAAAGCGAACACAGGGACACAAGAAAGTTTATACTAGTTCGGCCCCTTCGATGAAGGTAAAAGCCTACGTCTAGTTGTGATGGAATTGATGGGGTTTCGATGACTAGGGAGCAAACAAGCTTCGCCTATGTCTCGAGTTGTTGTCTGTCGTCCTTGAATCGCCGCCGGGTCGTTCCCTTATATACACGGGTGACGCCCGTCGGTTCACAGAGTCCCAACACCGGTCCATATTCGTATCCGGGTTGGTCTCTCCTTATTCCTAACTTACAATACAAGTTTATATACAAATGCCGGCCACAAGTCTAAAACCGACCACGGGCCTTAGGCCCTCGTCTGTCTTCTTGGGCTTTAGCACGCTTGAACTACTGATGAAGTTGACCCGGCCCATATAGGCCGGTTTACGCCCAGCAGTAATATCCCCAACATTAGGCTCCAGATTGATTTGAACGGGTTCATGTCAATCCTTTAGCAAAAACTTCATCTGCAACATCTTCTCATAAATTGGTAAACCGCCATGATGTCATCTTCTCTGATTTCTATAAACCGGAGTGACGTCACTTGTCATAACGAAGCTTATCAATTATGCTTCCTTGTTTAATAGATCTACGGAAATCGAGGCGACATCTCCGTTTCGTGAACCCTTGATTGTCGCGCCTGACACATGTCCTTTTGCCTTATAAATAGGACCGAAGGGTCATTTCTTTTCTCCCCTTCGTGCCTTTCTTCTTCATCTTCCTCGCGTCGCCAGCCTCGGAGCTCCGCCGCCGCCGTCAACTTCTGCACCAACCTTGGCCGCTGCATCAAGCTAAACGCACCAGAGCACCGCGGCAACCTTCCGCGTCTTCCTCAACTTTGGTAAGCCTTCTGCTCTTCTCAACACAAATCTGTTCTAGGGTTTCGTGTTCTTGCAGTGTTCATCACCTGTTCGTGTTCATATACTAGCTCCTGGATGCATCTGTGAACCCCTGCTCTGTGTAGCGGTAGCTTTTAGTATCTGCCTTTAGTTTCATGCCCAAGACCATAGATCTCACATATATTTCTGCCCATTGATTCAATATTGTTCTGCTTTGAGCTTTTGAATATTTTTCTTATTTTCTGAACTTGCTTCAGATCCAATGCTGTAGAGAAATCTTGTGAAATCTGTTTCTGCATACTTATCCATCCGCAATCTCAGCTGTTTCAATGCTTAGATCAGGCGGTTTAACTGTGTAGAAAAAATTGCCAAACCGGTATATACCATTAGTCCCCTTGTTGAACCGCCAGTTGTTGTTGCTTCATAAAACTCCGGTTTAGATAGATCAGTCTCCGGTTTAACATTGCACATACCAATGTACCTTAATCAATGCATTTTTGAACCGGGATCATCTACCTTGTAGATTTCATCATGGCCAAGCAAGTATATGAGTGCAACTGGGTTCCTTCTCGCGTCACAGAGGCTCAACTGGACGATTTAGTCCTGATCGGCGCCTTAGGCAGCAAAGATACCATCCATTGGAGGGCTCCTGGCAAAGAATGCCCTCCCACACCTCAAGAAGGAGAGGTCGTCGTTTTCGTAGATCACTTAGCCCGGGGTTTTAAGCCGCCTGGTTCTAAATTTTACCGGAACATTTTATCCGATTTTCATCTCCATCCATAAGATACTGGCCCCAACTCTGTTACAAACATGTGTCACTTCCAAGTGCTCTGTGAGGCGTTCTTTCAAGAGGAGCCCATAGTGGAATTGTTCAGAGACTGTTTCCATCTAAACCGCCGTACTGAGTTTACTGACGGCTCCAATACGGAGTTGGGTGGCGTGGCGATTCAGAAAAGGAAAGAGGTCACATACCCTCACTCCAAACTGCACAGCCACCCCAAAGAGTGGAATCAAACATGGTTCTATTGCAAAGACACCTCCCCTGCCGGTGAAAATCCCTTGCCTGGCTTTCGTCCGGAGCGGCTCAGCAATACACACCCCTTTCCGCAAAGGTTGACTGCCCAAGAGAGAAGCAAATATGCTCCTCAACTGTCGAAGCTCAGAGCCTTTATGGCCAACGGTTTAACAGGGGTTGATCTCGCCCGCTGTTGGATATCATGGAGCATACTGCCCCTTAGTCAACGCTCCGGTTTGATGTGCGAGTATACTGGCAGTGTGGATGATCCACTGCGACATTCCAACATCCAGCTCACCGATGAAGAAATCACAGAGGCTGTGAATAAGATGCTGAATGAACCGGAACACATCTGTGCTAAAACTGGCCTGCTTCCCTTCTGTGCCACCAACAAACCGCCGGCTGTAAGAGTTTGATTTTTCTTTTTGCTGAATCTACTGTCGATATATCTTGTCATTGTTTAATATCAGTGTCTGTGTAACCAGGGCAATGATCCGTTTTGGAGCAAGAAACTGCCGCAGGAGAAACCAGAAAAACCAGACAAACCGGAAAGGGCAACCCGGAAAAAGACTAAAGCTGTGAAGAAGACTGCCCACAGGAAAAGAACCACTGCATCCTCTAATCCGGCCCCTGATGATGATGTGGATAATCCAGACCTTGAGGTAGGGCTTGACTCACTTGGCTTATTTTTCATGCGTCTTATTGATGATGATATTTGTCAGGATGATGCCGAAGCCAGCCATGCTGATGCTGCAGAGGTAAGTATTCTCTCTTCCGATTCAGAACCTTTGCCTTCACTAAAAATCCGTCAGACAAACTGGAAAGTTAAATTTTCTCATCCTCTTGCTTATTTGGATCCCAAATTTCTTATGAAGACCCAACAGCACGAAGCTCATCGCACAACCCGGCACAGCGGCCAGGTAGTTACCTCCGCCGGTTTACCGAACAGTCCGGTTCGGAAACGCCGTTCAGAGGTCTCTAATTTGCTTGTCAGTGCTTGTCCTAAAGCGGGCTGCTTTCGTCAACCTCTTAATCCATCTTACTCCGATTACCAGGTTACTTCCCACTCATCCTCTGGCGAGTCATCGGCTACTCAGCTGCCATCGCTCAAAACGGTGCTTGGGTAAGCTATACTTATCATAATATTTGCAGCACACCGCCTTGGAACATATGCTGTATTTGATTTTGTTATTCCTTTCAGGGCCAAGCCTAGGCCAAGCAAGAAGGCTCGTCTGGACAAAGCGGCCGAAGAGGATGCCGTCCTTGAACCGGGCAAAACACCAGATCTTGAATTGGCTATTCCTAAGGATATACCCAATGATCCACCGCATCAAGACGACGATCTTATTGCTGAAGAGAGACCTATTGATACCTCAAATCCTGTCAATCAGCCCACAAGCTCCATCCGGATTGAGAAATCCACCGGTCCAACAAAGCCTACTGACAAGCCAACAGCCCCAGTGCAAACCGGCGATACCAAGGATGATGAGGTTGTCATTACTGGCACTGGCCATACAGAGCCAAGCAATCCTGTCGCTTTGTCCAAACATTCTGCCAAGGAAGAATTTTCTGCCTTTGGCAAAGGCAAGTGGAATGCTGATCTGGCGACTTACGCTGCTCTGAACGCCCAAGATATCCATTCCGACTACCTGAACCAGCTGTATACCAGTCGTGACTATGAAGTCGGTCTGGTTAATATGATGAAAGATAAATATGAGGTAACTTCCATATGCTCTTTCCTGCTTGTCTATTTCAATTCTTGTTGATGCTCCTAGCCCCCGAGGGCCGGTTTGTAATCTTCTTTCAAACCGGGACTGACTAATATAAATCTTAATGCTTTGAAATTCGCTGATGTAGTCCCCAAGGGCCGGTTCAACTTAGCGTAGTTAAACCGGGACTTTAAGTAATTGAGATCGTCGCATCAGAATATATACGTGCAAATAGCCATTAGCCCCCAAGTGCCAAGTTGAATACTTGTATTGATCTTGGGACTTTGTAAGCAATTGAAAGATGAAGATCAAATATGCATTAGCCCCCAAGTGCCAAGTGCATAACTTGTTATGTGGTTGGTACTTCAATCCTTATACCGTTTTGCTGAATCATATAACTGTCTGCATGCAGGCTGAGCTGAAGACGAAAGAAAGCCAAGTCGCCGATCTCCAAGATAATCTGAAATCCCAACAAGCTGAAACCTCCAAAGCAAAAGAGGAATTAACCAGCGCTTTATGCGCCATGGAACATCTTAAGGAGAACTTCAAGAAGAAGCGGGCGGATTGGGCCACTGAAAAATCCGCTTTAATCAAACGAGCAGAAGATGCCGAGGCTGCACTAAAACCGGTGGCGGATGAACTGACCAGCATAAAGCGGCACGTGCATGCCATGACTACTGCTATCTTTGGTAAGCCACTTTGCCTTCTGATTTGGCTCTGCCTCCTTACAGAGTCGTCGGTTTATTAACCCTTGATGGTATTTCA